AAAAAAATCATGACTGAGAAATGACGGACAGCTGATATTAACGCCGAGTATTGTTAACCGCGTAACAGCAAAGCGAACATATCTACCGGTGTGGTTGAAGAATGGAATAACAAGAGCATGAAAGACTATGTAGAATGAAAATAATGCAAACTTACACCGAATTTTATTTTTGCCTTAAATACACATGGACGGATAGTCCGGAAGCCAGGACCACGAATATCATCTTCGTAGATCGTTTCGTGCTGGTTTTCATAAAATAAAATTCAAAAACGGTGAGACGGTCTCTGTTTTGAAAAAATGCCCAGTTTTAGAAAAAAAGCAAATATCTTCGTCGCAGATCATCTTAGAAAGTCGCAAAAACAAATTATATATTCTGAACAATGTTCACAATCAAAATAATGTACTTCAATCAAGATAAAATGCACTTTTCCTTCCATTGAGAATAAGCATGGAATTCTTTCGGCTAGAAAAAGCATTCCAGTATACGTCTCTGCATGCTGAATAACGTATCAGCATGTTTGAAATCATGGCTAGTGAATAATAATATACTTTTAAATCTAGAAGAAAAAGCAAGAATTGATGTATTATAATTAGTGACGGTATTTGAAGAAAAAAGTATTACATTGGACTCGCATTAGTAACTTGCTTTCTCTACGACTAGAACAGAAGATAGTTAATACGATAGTCTGCATTTCTCAGGTTAGTAAATCAAGCATTCTATATAGTATATTTTGTTACTCTTGACAAACAAAATCTTTGCATAATAACGAGTGTGGCAGAAAGAATGAGCTTTTTAATATTTTCTACTTTTCTCGGGTTCTTTTATAAATCTTAAGGTTGACGTTTGTTCAAAAGACGCGCCGTGAAATACTCTACAAAATCATATCTAAACTTTACTTCAATCAAGAAAACTACGCAAATTAAGGTGAAAAAATCAAAACTTCATAAGTTGGTATTGTTTTTGGCTTCAGCGTTTTTCTTCTGCGATTATTTCTGTAAAAAGGTGCAGCAAAGTGAGAACTCGGCTACTTCTCGTACTTTCGAACGTGGTTTTTCTCACGGTGTGTGAAACAAGGGCTTTTAGAGCAGATCATATGCTCGAGAACTTCAAACATATGCCAAAGATTGACAACATCCAAATTTCTAACAATGTCGTCAAATAAGAAATGGAAAACATGATCGAAGTTTTGATTTTGTCGTTAGATAGCGAAGAGAAATAGTGTCTGATCATAATGCAACAAACCTGATCAAAAGATCTTTCGTTTCGACGAAGTTATGAATAATAGCGTAGTCACCGGATAGACCCACTAATCAGGTTTGCCCGCCCACTAAAAGTTTTCTAGATTACACTACTCTACGCTAAAAGGCTATACGCTTTGAAAAATTTGGGACAATATCCATCCACCAACAAAATCCTGGCTACACCACTAGTTATGAACTTGTCTGAAAGCAGTACTATACGCAGAATTTAAAACTTGATGAAAAAATGTGTGACAGCCAGCAGGAAAATGATTATTTCTTCATGGGTTTTGATGTGAAAAGATTGGAAAAATACAACGAAATCACAACTAGAGAATGAGTATTTCAGTTTTACACGAGAAATCGTTTTTGATTGTACAAAGTTTCCATTTTTTTCACCTTTTGTATAATGGATTATCCTGTCTTCATAAATCCAGTTCCATAAACCTCACATACATTTTTATGTAACCTCTGGCTTGAAAAGTTCTACACCCAAGTTAACTTGTTTCCAAGTTTCATAAATGTGCGATTCATGTTGTTTCAGGTTTATTTAATTAGTTCCTTAATTAACTCTAGTATTAATATGTTACATAGGGACATATAACATTATATAATTGGTATATGCCACGTAGAGACGTGTGTTGATGGTATTTTAATTAAAAATAATGATTTATTTAATTGAAAACAGTATCAGTGTACCTCGAGGTGCGATGTGAGGCTTGTAGAGACAAAAGGACTCCGCCAAATAGAGGTACTAATATCTCACAAAGATAGGTATGAATTACTTAGAGACATAGACTGATTCAAATAAAAATATGGAATTTATTCTAAAGCTGCATATACAAGTCTTTAAGTAAGCTGTGAGTCTCTCATAAGCATATGCTTACTGGTATATCATAATGGGAAAATGCATAAAACACAAAATCCTAAAAGGCTACAAGGCTATGAAACATATGATAATGGGAGATGTAAGAAACCTAAAAGCCTAGAAATGTAGATAGTTGTGAAAGATATCATAACGGGAAAATGTTGCCATTATTATATATTCTACGGCTGTCTAGGTTTTTAGGTTTCTTACACTTTTCCATTAGTGTATTCATTCCGAATCTATCTTGATTTTACTCCCAGTATTGCTTTTTCTCTCGTGATCCACTCTCGTACTCCTCCCCCTCCTTCCACCCCGTCCTTCAACAGTTTGAAAAATCGATAGAAAACATACTGTGAAACATATCATAATGAAAAATGCGAAAAACCCAAAAACCTAGAAACGTAACCACTTGTGAAAGATATCATAATGAGAAACTTTTCCTATTGTGGGAAAATGTAAGAAATCTAAAAGTCTGAAAAGCTAGACGATTGTGAAACATATGACAGTGAGAAAATCTGAGTAACGTGGACAGTTTCTCCTCTTGCAAAACTTTTCAGGAAAATTTTTTAGTTTTATTTTTCCGGGAAAGGGAAAATTCTCTATTCTATGTAACAAAAACTGATTTATTGAAACTTCACAGATGAACTCAAAAGCATTTTCGATACCCTTGCAGTCTGCAGCCAGGTGGGCACTTGATCAAAATTGAAAGCGTACATTTTCTAGATTTAAGTAGTGACAAATATACTTTAAAACATCCTCTACATAATGGAATAATAAACTTTGTTTCAAAGCGCATAGACCATGAAAATCTAGTTAGCTCAAAATTAGTTTAAAAATCGTGATGTTTTCACGAACTGATAGTCGAATCAAATACATGTTGAAATCGGCAAGCCGAGCTCTAGACCCTGATAAAATTAAGTTTTAATTTGCATGTGTAGCTACGGTGGACAACAAGTAAGAGTTTTTCTACAGAGTTTTCAGAATAGCTAATTTCAGTAAAATGAGCGCCCCCTGTTATTTCACTATCATACTCATTCAACTTTGCCAGAACGTTTTACTCTGTGTCCTCTGTCATCACAGTTAGCATAAATTAGTGTAAATGCTCCTAAACCGTCCAGAAAGTTTTTCAAAAACCTTGGTTCTTCATTTAAATTCTACTTTTTTCGGCTCTAAATCATTTTTATGTAAAACCAATGGCATACTCAGAATCAGCGCATGAAATTGCGTCGCACGATCTTTAACACAAAACATTTTCTCGAGACAATGTGAACAGGGGTACTTCTCAGATGTTTTTCGTCGAAAAATCATTTTTTCGAAAAAAATACTTTATTTTCCTAGATGTGAGTATACAATTACTTGTGAACAAAAGAAATGCGTTTTTGAACACCAGAGTTATAGTTGTCCGCCTACCATGCGAAAAATGCATACTGTGACCGCGTGTGAAATTTGTTTTTGTTACAGTGGAGAAACTAACAAACAGGTACTTCCGGTACTTTTACAGCTATAACGGCTAATGATGATTCCAGTTTGTTTTTATCCAGTGATCCTGAAGATTTAGATCAGTTGAGTGACGAAGTTAATTTTGGTGTCGAAAGTAATGAATTGAAAATGACGTAATTCTAGACCCGACACCAATACAAATGATATCGGTTATCATGCATCAAAATAAACTGTCAATTAATGATCATTTGAAATATTCTCTATTGACAAATCATTTTAAACCCGATAGAAAATATTCATTTCCAACGCTATATTCGGATGATTATAAACATTCTCGTCGATTCATGATCAATTGATTAATCGATAATTCATTTCTTGTTTATTCACCGTATATTGAAGGTAGTTATTGCATAAATTATGTATTATTTCGTAACGTACAAGGGCAAAAATTAGAATTATTTGTCGATAAACCTTGTCACTGATACATCATACAAAAATTGAAACATTTCACTACATCATTGAAAAGTCATATTCACAGTTTATCAGAATTCGACAGTTGTTACCGATAATTTTATACGTACATATAAAGATCCATCGTGATCAATTTTATCGTTAATTGATAAAGACAGGATTGAGAAAATCTGTCGTAATAAAGCAATATTAGCATCAATTGTAAAAATAATAATTACTTGTTCACGTCAAAATATTCCTCTCCGTGGTCACAGAGACGAAACAATAGATAATGTAAGAAAAACTATAAATGTAATTGATTCTCATTCTGGTTCAAATTTTATTGCATTGTTAAAACAACGTATCGATTCGGGCGATGAAATTCTTCGTGAACATGTTGAACGTGGACCAAAAAATGCATTCTACACAAGTCCGTTAGTTCAGAATGAAATTATTGACTGTATACACAAATATATTTTGAACGAAATTTTGCATCGAGTAGAAAATTGTTTGTTTTCTATCATTGTTGATGAAACAACAGCCGAACAATTAAGTCTTTCATTACGATATTATGATAAAAAAACAAACGATATAAGAGAAGATTTTTTAACGTTCATAGAAACTGTTTCGTGTACGGGTGAAACAATAGCTAATATTATTCTTGATTATTTAACAACACATAATTTACCGTTTGATAATTGTGTAGGTCAGGCATATGATGGGGGCTCAAATATGGCCGGTATCTGTCGAGGTTGTCAGGCAATAATTAAACAGAAATGTTCAGATGCAGAATATTATCATTCTTCTAACTACTGTCTCAATTTGGCACTGGTTGATAGTTGTAGTATTTCACAAATTCGTAACATGATGGGAAAATCAAGAAAATAATTAATTTTTTTAAAGATTCACCAAAACGAATGTTTGCTCTTAGGTCTGAAATTACGGACTATCAAGGAGAATATATTTGTTTAACAAATAAAAAACGTCTTTTGAGTTTATGTGACACTCACTAGGTTGATTGAAATACGTCAATTGAAACATTTTTAGAATTAAATATTCCAATTGTTAATACATTAGACAAATTTAGATATGGAACATTGAAAGATTCAACAGCTGAACAATTGTATCATGCCACAACCAATTTTCAACATATAATTTCAACTTGTATTTCATGTTTTTTATTATCAGATATTGTTCCCATTAGTCGTTTACTACAAACAGAAACATTGGATTTTTCATCAGCTAATCGAAATGTTGATAATTTATTAGATATATTTGAACAACGAAAACGGCAGGCTCAAGATTATTTTCGTAATGTTGTTTATAGTCACGTTGATGAATTATGTAAAGAATTGTTTATCACACCATCTATTCTGCGTCATTCAATATTAGCTTTGGGAAAAAAAAATATGTCAATTTGTGATCTAGAACAATTTTATCGTGCTCATGTTTATTTACCATTCTTAGACGAACTAATTAATAATATTAAAAGCCGATTATCTGGCTTAAAAAGTGAGCGAATTATTTTATTAAGGACATTGCGATCGGAAAGAATTATAAATGAAAAACCATTTGAATTAACAAAACATTTATCGAAACACTTCGCTGATTGTTTATCATCACCATTACAATTAAATTCTGAATTAGAAAGATGGCATAAAAAATGTAATGATTTAATTAAAATGGATAATGATTGGAGAAAAAAATGGTTAAATGAATTAATTAAAGAAACAGACAATGTATTATATCCAAATATTCGTTATTTATTAATTTTCTTGGCAACATTGCCTGTATCAACTGCTTCTGCTGAAAGAAGTTTTAGTCAATTATCGAGAATTAAAAGTTATTGTCGGTCTACAATGAAACAAAATAGACTAAACGGACTTGCTGCTGCATACATTCATGGTAAAAAACCGTTTCGCCAAAAGACAATTCGCCATGGCGAAATGTCATGTGTCGTTTCGCCAACTGGCGAAATGTCGTGTGCCGTTTCGGCCATTGGCGAAGTGCCAATGCCGTTTCGGCCAGAATTTGTATAGTTTCACCAATTGGCGAAATGGCACATGACATTTTCCCAGTAAGTGGTTAGAACACCGTAAATTGTTATCAGTCCCCAAGTTAGCTTAGGAATCTCACTGATTCTTGATCCCTAACTTGACTTAGGGATCGCTATTTAAGTTATGATAATACATATGTAAAGAAAATGTCGCTTGACTATAGGGAAAACATTTTAAAGAGGAAAGAAGCGCAAAACTTATCCGACTATACTTTCTTTATCTCTATAAGTCACACTTATATGTATCTTTTCTTCCTGTCTATTTTCCGTGTTCTTCCTTATCTCTCTCTATCTCGCCTCTTAATTCTTTTCTTTTAATCTCAGCCCGTTTACATACGAAGACTGTACAACTGCTCATCCTTAAACAGACGAACAGACCATGGAATATCGAATTTGTTTTTAGTTTGTTTAGTTTATTTGAAAATATATATTTTGAGGGAGGTTTCCAGGAAATTGTCTTTTGGCGAATCGTGCTCTGGCGAAACGTCAGAGATTCCCCAAACTTTTGCGTACACAAAAGATGGTACAAAACCGTTTCGCCAAAAGACAATTCGCCATGGCGAAATGCCAGTGCCGTTTCGCCAATTAGAGAAACGGCACATGACACTTCGCTAACTGGCGAAACGGCACATGACACTTCGCCAATTGGCCAAACGTCCCGTGACACTTCGCCACGGCGAATTGTCTTTTGGCGAATCGTCTTCTGGCGAAACGACAGAGATTCTACATTCATAAAGTTCTCGGTATAAATCCAGATGAAATATTGATTATATATACACAAATCCATCATCGTCGTCTTGATTTTGGTGTTTGAATTTGAGATATAAATGTTATAAACAGAGGCATTAAAAATAGACCAAACACACCTGACTTAGGCTTAAATTTCAGTTTGATGTATATCTTTGATTAAAAAAACCTCATTTCATTTTTTGGTGTCCTTTTTGGACCACAAATGTTTTGGCCCACCAACAAAAACCTTGCAATTTTGTCCATCATTTTTTTTCCGACACAATAGAAGTTTGTCCATTGGTCTAAAAATCCTGGTTACGCCGCTGTATATTCATTCTTATATGTGGAACAATTGGTATTACATAAAATCTAATTGTATTTATGCAACGCTCCTTACGTTCGAATCCATGTTCAATTTATTTTCTATCGTCATCGATATCAGGTATATTGGCACTCTTTTCTGGTCTTATAACACGCATATTAGCCACATATCAACTGGATCCAACTAATGAGTCACTCCCACAATGTAAAATAAGAAGTTTTTTAATGTTTTCAACATTAACAACATCAACATGGTTTATTGCATTAGCATCAATTGATCGCTATTTTATCAGTTGCCAAAATGTTAAACGTCATCAGCTAAGTAATTTAAAAAACACTTATTATCTCGTGGGAACTGTAACAGTTTTATCAATATTAATCTACTGCGAGATGTTTTATTGTTTTGGAGCTACCCTTTCAACTCCGCCATCGCCATTACCGTGTTATTCTAAAAGTTATCCATGTCGATTATATCCTCGTGCAAAAAATAGTTGCACACAGTATTTTTAAGATATTTCCCTTACGAAAATATACTTTTACAAAAGTGACACCATATTCTGATAGCGCTTGGAATTCTCTACAGTTCTGTATATTTATATCTTGTCTTGCACTTATTTACTGAAAAATAAATTGAGTGGAATGATGGCCCCCACATTGTCAGATTCCTACGGACTGCATTTTGTTACTATTTCTTCAACTTGCTTGTAAATTTATCATCACTATAGAAATTGCTTTTTATAAAAGTAATTATATATTCTGATAGCGCCTAAAATTCTCTATCATCCCATATATTTATGTCTTGTCTTACATTTATTTGCTGAAAAATAATATGAGTACAGCGCAGGTACCCTCAATTGACAAGTACCAAAAAGGTGCAGTTTTTCTCTACTTTTTTAGTTTTTTCCACACCATCTGTTTTAAAAGATTTTTTTACAGACCACGAGAAAGAGCACATACAGAAGTACAAAAAGAACTGACTTTTCACTTTTGCAACCCTTTTTTTACGGAAATAGTAGCAAAAGAAAAAGGTTCAGGTGGAAAAAATAACAGATTTTTAAAGTTTTCATTTATTTCGTCTTTCGTATAATCTGCGTAGTTTTCTTAATTGAAGCTCTAAAATTAAAGGTTAGGTATGGTTTTGTAGAGCATTTAGCGGCGCACCTTTTTAAAAAACATTAACCTTTGGATCCTAAAGAAACACGAGAAAAATAGAAAATATTGAGATGCCACACTCATTACAATTTCTGGGAATCTGACGAGGAGGGGGCAGTCATTGCACTCAATGTATTTTTCAGTAAATAAATGTAAGATCAGATTTAAATGTACAGAATTGTAGAGAATTCCAAGCGCTATCAGAATATGTGCTCATTTTTGTAAAAATATATTTCATAAGGAAAATATCTTAAAAATACTGTGTGCAACTATTTTTTTTCACGAGGATATATAACTTAACATTTGCAATTATATTTGTACTAATACCTTGTTTTATAATGTCAGTGTTTGGATATATAACAATATTAACTATTAGAAAACTAAATCGATTGGTTGATACTACCTCTTCTACTCAAAATGATAGAAGAAAAATGAAAAGATCTGATCGACAATTAATACAAATGTTACTTGTACAAGTTGTGTTAATAACAATGCTTGCATTACCAATAGCCGTACAACGTTTGTATGCAACATTCATAATAAATTTAGTTAAAAAGCAATTACAATTATTAATTGAAAATTTTGCATTTCAATTACTTCTTTTATTAACTTTTATAAGTATGAGTATATCATTTTATTTGTATTTATTAACTGGTACACCATTCAGATACATTGGCACATAAGTTCTGCACGTTTTTGATATTGCTCCGGAAATACCTTTGGATTTTGTTTTCTTATTGAATGATGAATCGAACGAGATGCCCCTCAGAGAATAACACTATTTAATCATTTCTA